GATTATCCGGCTTTATTTAGCGACTAGGAATAGTTTCATGACGATTTAGGGCTAAAGAGCTAACGGAATGGCTACAATGAGCAAACACGCACATATATCCAGTAATAGCCGTATATTAAATAGATTTTTAAGAAATTTTTTTCTGCTTTAGTATTTTATATGATGAGTCGGCCTTTATTTGAGCCAAAAAAAAGGAATCTTTTTGTCACTTTACAGAAGCATAGTATTGTTTAAGAGTTAATAGATTGAAAAGGTTATTTCTGGTAACTTTTCTCTTTTTTCTTTGTGCTTTTTTACTTATCTTTTTTGTTTACTATTTATGGGTATTTATTAGTATGATATTTGGAGACGAATTTAATGGCGTTGATGGTTGAGGTAACAAAACGGTTTATCTGATCGCAAAATTAATATAATTTGGTTTTTTTTTCTTTTTTTTTTTTAAGAATTGAATCTTTTCTTTTTCGTCTTTTATTGCCATACAGATATGTATTTTTTTGAAAAAAAAACGCTTTTTTTCATTTTTCAAATGTTATTTCAACTTGCTGGTTTTTATTTTTATTGTATATAGTTTTAATTATGTATAACGAGGAATTCAATAAGTTTCAAATGGTTTTTTCTTGCTATTTTTTTAAGCTTTGATCTATTTGAGCGAAGAAATAGGGGAAACTGTGTTTTTTTTTGTCTGTATGGCTTTGACGATATTTGTGATGACCGATTTTTATTGATCATTTTTTCCCATTGTTGACAAAAGGTTTCATCTACAAAATACTCTTGACAAACATAGGTATAGTAGACTATATATTTACAATTTGTACACTGCTGTTGAAGTCGGATGAGTTCGTTGTTGTCGTTGTAATTGTTTTTTTTCTGCTCTTTTTTTTTGTCAGCTTCTTTTGCAGTTTTGTTTTAAACAACACATCTTCTCATTGCTGAAATTCTTTTTTAAACTTTATAACTGGAAAAGTCTAAAAGTTATCATCAATATCGCCATTGACCTTACGGTGTACAATGTGAAATTAAAAAACAAAAATTCTTCTAGTTTATATATTTTTTGTTTGTTTTCATCTTTTAAAAAGTACAAAAAGGTGGTGTTGAAGGATGGATATTGATCTTCTGTCTGCAATAGTTATTTTTTTTCTATTTTTTTTTTTTGTTTTGTTTTGTTTTTTGACTCTATTACACCGAGTATCTTGGGACAAGTGTCGTTGTCATCCTGTCATCACCAGTTTCAATGCTGTTTTCAGTGTTTTTTTTTTTTGATAAATTAAACTGTATAAAAAAGCGTATATGATATTAGCTGTTAGGGTGTTTCCAGAAGAAAAGGTACAAATCTTACAGCGATTACTTAGGAAGAATTAGAAGACATAACGTACGTTAGGCAAAATGTGAAGGAAAACAAAAGTGTAGAAGCATTGGCTAGTTTTTCTGTCCGTTCTGCAATTAACAAACCGATGTCGGATCATTAAGCTTGTTGATGATCGTCGAAACAGTCTTAAAGGATTTTGTTCCTTGTTTGGCCTGGTGATCATTTAATTATTCCTTATTTTTTGTATGTTACTTTCTAATGTGTTTCATAAGATGGTTGGAAATGAAACAAAAAAAAAATTGAGGCTACGGACTTGGCTAGTTTTTTCCATTCCACAAATAATGACTTTATTCGGCGATGTGAAATCGCTGCAAAGGGCATATACATTTTGTTTCTATCACTATACTGGTAGACAAGAGGTTAGCCTAAATGAAACTAAAAGCAAAGGCAAAAAAATAAAAAAGGAAAAGAGAAATCAAAATTCATTGATGCATTGCATTTTGTATAATGAATGACGAGTAAAAGTTTTTTAGCATAGACCAAAGGAAAATTTGAAGTTTCTTCAGTTGCAAAAGGAGGAAAAAAAATGCAGACAAACAAAATTAATCTTCTGCAGTAAGCATGGGATTTGTTCAAACATCATTAGTTGTGGGGACAACCGAACAAAACAATGCCGAATCTAAAGTGACAGATAATATAAGCTTGTTTGGTACTATCAATGAAGTGATCTCCTTCATCATCATCTTCATCATCATCATCACCACCACCACCATCACCACCATTATTGGCCCCATCCTAATCTGCATAACTAACATCAATAACCGTTGAGATATTTTGTTTTTTTTGCGCTTTTTACGCTTTAAACATAAGTCTTCCAGCCTTTTTTTTGCTTCCACAATTTTTTTTGCATCCTGAAAGTTTTGTTCGACTGGTAACTGGTATTTTGAACTTTCACAGATATTAAAGTGAGAAAAACAATTCAGTATTTTTGAAGTTGTTGCATTAGTGTTTGTTTCTTCTTTTTTTTTCTTCCATTTTTTTTTTCTTTGACGCCTTTATAATCCCACAATCGATATTTTTTAAAAAAAAAAATTTTTTTTTGAATGGAGGAGGGGAGGAGATGGGGAGGTTCTTGGTTTTTTTTCTTCTGTCTTCAACAAATTTGCAATCTTTTTTCTTTCCTTTTTTTTTTCTTCTTTGCATACGAATGTGTAAATTCATCGAAACTGAAAACATTTGGTGAAGTATTTTATCTTCAACGATATTAAATCTTAACTTCTTTACCGATACTGTTGTCCATATGTGCACATTCTGTGTGCTTTGATATGAGTAAATTGATTGGGCCAATAATTTTGGCATTGATTTCACGCTGAACACAGCGCGTAAGATTGCTGATTTTTTGCGCTATTGATCATTGCTGAATCTGAATATGCACATCAGCTTGTATAGTTTTTTCAGTGAAGGAAAAAATACTACAGTGATACCAATATTTATATCAGTCTATGCCGGAAGACAGATGGCGAAATGTTACTTTTGTTAACCGCTTTTGTTGTTTGAATCTGCTGTTATTTGAAATGAAGATGATCAGCGTTTTGTCACTTGTTCAGCAGGAATGCAGACCGCTAATTTTAATTTATTTTTGCTGACTTTTTTGTGAAATTAAAAATGTCTTTTTCAAAAACAGTTTAGTTTTTTAAAAAAAGCCTCCTGTATGGTTGTTATTTGTCATTTGTTTGAAACTACAGTAAATTAACAGGTCAAATTCTTTCGAAATGCATCTTTGCTCAACTTCATTATCTCCCATTTGTCATTCTGCTGTACAGTAATTTAATGACCAGGTAATTTTTTGGAATGGTTACATTTTATCTTCTTCTTTTTCAGATGATCACATTTGAAACGACGTTCCAGCCTTTGAAGACATTAATCTTTTTTCATTCGATAAGGATTTGAAAAAAAAAAAAAGTATCCGCGTAAGAGTCCTCACTCAACACGGTGTTTCTGCTTTTTCAATGGGTATTAAGATTGAGCTTGAACGAAAACCGATGGGACAACGCATAGCAAAACACCACATGCAGGCTGGAGTTAGACTCTATCACCAACGGCATCACCAGCAAGCTATTGCCCATTGGCGTTCAGCGCTCAAACGGCTCACGTCAGTTTTCAACCTTTATAATTTTTGCATTAGCTTATTCCCCTGATTTTTCCAAACGTTAAAACTCTCAAAAAGTTCTTAGATAATTATGAATTACTACTGAACACTACTGTGGTTCTTTCTTTTCTCTTTTCAGGAAAAAAGTGGAACCTTTTACTTGTTAACAGAAATTTTTAGAAGGACTATTTTCTAATTCTACTTTAAGGACCTTTTTTGACTGCTTAAGTAGTAGTGTAGTAGTGATTTCTTAAAACAGTTGGTTTCAGTTCTACCATTTATTATTCTTCTAGAGGAGCAATTTTTTTGAACATTTCAATTTAAGTCAAAACACCTAATTAAACAGATGAGGTATAAATTCTGAAAAAAATGTTGAATTTCAATTCAGACTGAACTACGTAACAATCACCTTATTCTCTAAGAATAAATATGTTGACGTTTGTCTACTAAGAAAGAAAAAGGTTTTTTTTTAAAAATTTTTTATCTAAAAAACTACTGTTTTAATAGAGTGAATTTTAAACTGGGACACGGTCAACCTTCCTTTCTCTATCAAACTGTCAAAGGCTAATGGCAGATGTTGACAACTGCTAGGATATTGAAGCTTTTTTGGCACTTGTCGTTCCCGAAAAGTCATTTATTCTGTAAATGCAAATGTTGTTAATCGTAGGCGGAAGTTAATGAAACCATTAAATAAATTCCACATTTATTTCTTCTTTTCATCTTCTCTTCTTGCGAACGAAATTTAACAATAACTGTTGATCTTTTCTTTCGCTAATATGATGTCATCTGGAAGCAAAATGTAAAAAAAAAATTTCGATGGAAACCTCAGTTTTTAATGAGATTAAGACCAGAAGAATAGACGATGAAATAATAAAAGAGATTTAATTGGCAGAGCAACTGTCGTTGATATATGATACTTTTGACCTAAAAAACCGCTTTTATCTAACCAATTCTCGGAACCCTATTTTATTCAACAGCAACAATTTAATGCAAATATGTAAGACGTGAGGAAAAATACCAAAAGCTTTTTGTACACAAAGAAACTGATTTATAAACAGATACTTAACTGCAAGGTTCTTGCAGATGTTTTATTATATAAACCTCACCTGAACGTATAATAATTTTGCAGAAATCCCGAGGACAGATTCGCAACCTTAGGCTATATGGCTCAAGCATATTGTGATGCAAGTAATTACGATTCAATGCTTCAGTATGCTTTACAGCAAATGGAGTTAGCCAATGCCCTACAGGACGAGCATTTCAAAAGTGAAGCGTTTCTTAATCTAGCAAAAGCTTACGAAAAACTTGCTGACTATAGTAAAGCAATCAGCTACAGTAAAGCAAGCTTACAACATCCAAGTATGGATCCCCGAACTCCCGGGTATGCACACTTAGGTAAGTGGAAAAAAATACTGCAATATCAAGTCTTTTGGACTGTCAGCTGAGTAAAAAAAAAGAAGAAAAACAAAAAAAAAGCAATAATGATTATCGTTCAAATTATATTTTCAGAAAATAATAAAAATGTAAAGATTTATATAACCGTTAAGCAAACAACCAGCCACGCTTCTATATTATTAGTGCTAATTAAGTGGAGTTTTATTAAAAAGTAAAAAAAAAAAGAAGCAAGTAAGAAAATCTGAATTTTTTTTCAGCAATGGCTCTCTCACAATTAGGTTTAAGCCAATTCCAAGCTAGTCTTGAAGCTTTCGAGAAATCTATGAATATTGCTAATTCTACGTCTGATAAACTTTTAGAATTGCAAGTCTGTGTCGGGCTTGGAATGCTTTTCACCTGCCTCAGGTAAATACTGCAAACTGAAATCTATATTTTTATCATAAATCAAATATTCTAGGTGAGGGTGAACAATAATTACTTCTGCAGCAAATAATTTTCTTACTTGACAAGTGAAGAGCAATTACTGAAGCTATACTGTTTTGCAGAGATTTGTCGAAAAGCCTAATTTTTTTACGAAATGCCTTAGCGATTCTGCAAAGTGTAACTGTCGATCATGTTCACGCCAAATATAGAAGTGTTACGCTTTGCCAATTGTCTGTAGTTTTAAGATTGAAAGGTCTGCTTGCAGATGCCAAAGAAGCATGTGATGTAAGAAGTCAACTGCTGTATTTAGTACTCATTTTATTTCCTTCCTTCGCTTACAGTGAACACCGTTGAATGTTTCTCGCCAAAAGAAAAATCAAAATACATTCAGTTTTGCTTTACAAATAAGTAACTTTTCATAGGAAGCACTACACCTATCATCTGAAACGGGTAATCGCTCTGTCTATGCTCGATGTCTTTGTTCGATGGCTGATATATTTAGGGAACTAGGCGAAACCGAAGCGAAAGAAACGATAATTGTAAGAAACTTTTGTTCAAGATGTTATAAGAAAATAAGATTGCTTAAATAACTGTTTCTGAATCTTGCTGTCGCTAAAAAAGTTCTCCCTCAAAGTAACTTTTAATTTTTGTTAACGTAGGAAGAATAGAAAAATTTTCCAGAAAAGCTGGACACGTTATGAAGAAGCGTATCGAATTATGCGACAAACTAATGATCGTATGGGGGAAGTTGTGGTGCTTGGGAGTATGGCAAGGACGGCGTCTGAAAGTCGTAGTCATTATACTGGCCAGTGTGAATGTCAGGTATTCCTTTTACCTTTCCTGTTCATTTTTTTTGACTAAGTTTCCTAAATGGCCACTGTTCACTTATAAAAATAATTTGATTTAAAACACTTTTCGAAGATTTTGATTTTATCATTGATCATTTTCGATAATATAAGAAGTTCTGTGCAATTGTTTTCTTGTCTACGACTATTTATAAAAGTTACTAAGTGTTAATTACAATAACAGTATTCAAAAACCCCGAACAGTAGCTGTAAGAAATTTAAATACTAAGTGATCGTCATCAGCAGAAATCTGGAAAGAAATTCAGAGGAACTAAAAGGAACTCACAGTTTTGATCTGAAAATACAGCCCCTTTCAAGCAAAAAAAGCTGTTGTCTCTGTGACCGAGAAACATTTTAATTGTAGACAGCTTATCAAAGCAAAAATCTTTTAGGCTATTCAACTAAACAAGAAATGTTTAGAAGTGGCAAAGACGATTGGATGTAAGGTAAAAACACTTATACTTTATCACTCTAATTTCTTGTCACCTTTGGTGTACGATACTTTTTTTAAAAAATTTCTGCTCTTTCATTATTGATAATACAAAAATGCTCCCAAAGTTATATCAGTTTCTTTAGCTATACTTTAATCTTGCAGTACGCCATGCTAAAATGCCATCTGAGGTTACAAGATCTTTACAACCAGCTTTCCGATGATGACAGCGAAGAGACGGCTAAAGAAGCTGTCACTTCCTTGACTCAAGAAATGGAGCTCTTTTGTAACTTTTGTGGACAGTGCTACGGGCTCGAGGAAGACTCACTTCAGGCTCTTCGGTGTTCTCACATCTTTCACGAGCAGTAAGATGTTATTCTTTTTACTCCACGTAAAAATAACTGCTAAAAGAAATAAAGACGGTGAAAAACAAAAAAAGCAAATGGAACAATAAGCAACTTTTTTATTTAAAAAATTTTTTAATATCAAAGTCGGGACGAACAAGCCTGAACTGAAATAATACAAACAGACGATATGCAAAAAGAATTTGCGAAGTTAGGATGTTTAAGAACACTGATGGAAGGAAATGACAGTTTGAATCCTAAAGCAATGAAAATCACAGTCTACCGGGGATTCAAAAGTTTTCATTGTAAAAAGCCGTTTTCAGTTGCCTTCGAAAATATTTGTCCGAAAGAGAAGATGAAACTTGCCCAAAATGTCATCACAGGGCAATTGCTGTAAACGAAGACTTCTGCCAACCGATGACTTCCCCGCAAACTGCTCCGATCCCTAATCGGCAGTTACCGCAACCTTTATCAGGTACGTTTGCAAGTTTAAGCTATGAAAGTTGTTAAACTTCTTTACTGATTTCTGAATGCACGTATCCCTCAAGCTGATGAAAGGTCGGTTACGATTTCAATCTAATGCAGTCCTATCCTGTTCCCGTATCAAGTACTTTTTTGATATTTAATTATGTTAGATCCTTTGCCTTCTACGAACGCACGAGTATTTGGTGGAGTTCGAACAGCAATACTGGCTGCCACGGAGGGACCCTCTGGACTACCTCAAGCCTTAGTGCATCGGTTTCCAAATAACCTGCCATCAACAACATTTGCCAAAGCGACTCCTGCCGTCGTTGTAGACTCACCTACCGGTAACTGTTGTTTAGCAGACCAGAAAACTTTTTTTTAATGGCTTGAAGGCTTTATTTACAAAAAAAGTGGCTTTAAAATCCTGCTGCTTTTTTTTAAATTCACTTGCTGTTGCATAACTTTACAGTTTAAAATGTATACAATATTTTTAGATGACCCTCAAAGTGAAGTAAAAAAAGGACCAAAACCGCCACCACCACCTCGTAAGCCCTGCTGCACAACCGTTGACGGCTTCCCATCCCTTCCACCTATTTTGAACCTTTCAGATACAAATTTCGACTCTACACTTCCGTTCACTTGCACTGAACGCCTTACCGTCACTGATGTTTGAAACTGGAAGAAAACTTCATTTTTTTTTTGTTTAAAAAATTCCAATTGTTAATGGTTTCTCCAGTGATATATTTTACCGAATATAACTGAAAATACAATTCTTATATAAATGAGAAGCCTTACAGTAACTCTATTTTCTTTATAAAATTCTATTTTCATTGTATGCTATGCATTCCTTTTCAAAATTTGCAATGGATATACAAATATTTGTAAACGCCAAAGATTTTTTTTCTGCAATGCTGACTTCATTTCGTTTTAACTCTTCTTAGCAATTCCTCGGTTTTAATTGGTTTATATGAATCTGAGCAGGAGGCTGTTATAACTTTTTTGGGATAACATGGCTTGACGAGTTACGATCGGTTAAAAGTTTAATGAACAAAGTTTGCTACATTTTTTAGTGTAAACTCTCAAAAAACCTCTAATTGTACCTAAAGCAACTGATCCACAGCCACCTGCCCCTTGCTGCCGTACTCTACCTTCTTCTACGAAACGGTAACTATTTAGTTTCTTCTTTAGCCAAGGATTCTTCAAATCTTCTCAACGTACTCACAGCGTCTTATTTTTACTGTCTATCTCTCCGCTGACTTACTGCCAGCCTCTGATGTCTAGGACCTCCTTTGTTGCGCATTTGCGACATTCTCGCAGTTGGGGAAGAAGGGAGGTCTTATACGAATTGCTCACTTGGATTCTGGTCCAGTTATTTATTTACTATGCACTGACTCGATCATTCATATACTTACTAGCCAGTACTCTGGTCAAGGCTGCCCTTTTCTAATGCTTTGATAAAGACTAAGGAGAGCATATCTGGTCGGCTGCTAAGTAGTTATCTGGTGATACTGGCGCATTGGTGTGGGAGGAAATGGCATTTGGGTCGGCAACTTGAGAAAAGTATGAAATAAAACTAAGTGACACTTAAATTAGAAGTTAAACAAAAGGGGATTAATACATAGTGGTTTACTGCATGGAGCTTGAAAAGAATGCGTTTGTATGTTGAAGAGAATATATGGGTAACTTTAACTTGCTTATTACCAGCCACAACGGTTGTCGTAAAAGGAACAGAACGAGGTAACAGTAATTTTGATATGTAAGTTTAGTAATTAATATAAGATTTGACAAAATGATCATGTCATTAAAAAAACTGGAAATGACCGATGCTCTGGTGTACTAATCCGGTAACAATTAGTTCCTTAGCGAACCCCCTTCCAACCCGCTGCCGGTGACGTCTTTCGTTAACGACAACGCCGAATGAATGAAATTAGTTCTCAATTTTGACATAACTATTCAAATCAATGTAGCCATCTTAAGCCAAAATAAAATATTTTAATTTGAAAGAACGACAGATTATGGACATAATTGCAGAATTTTCAATGTCATGAAAAAATGTTATTTCAAGAAATGAAGTAAACCAAATTACGGATGTACAAGATTATAAAAATAAAAATCTCCAGAATTCCAAATCTGGAGTACCGATAAATTATATACGCTGGTCAGCTTGCCTTAAAACTCAAGAAATTTCTTAAACACCCGTCATTGAACTACACTGTAAAAAATATGAAGCAGTTTCAAGTGCAATGGTTTTTGGCATGAGCATTGTTGGTTTTCTGAGTTTTTCGCTCGGTAGAAGGTTTCTCACGGCTTGAATGATAATAAAAGAAACGGTGGTTTAGCCCATAAATTCTGATAATGGCAAAGGAGCATTCTTAGCGTCTTCATATTTATCACAAAGAGTCATGTTTATCATTTTTATAAAAGGAAAGGAAGATTAAAAATTTAAACATTAGAAGACAGAACAACTATGTGTATTTGTGGCGATTGAAGAGCCAGTTCGTCCCAAAAAAAAAAAAA